GCCGCCGCGCGAGGAGCCAGGATGGTCCTGGTCCACGTCGGCTATCTCGTGCTTCCAGTGTTTGGCTCTGTGCGAAACAGAGGTATCGCTTTTTCCTTTCGGGGTCTGCTTCCGAGTGGGGATCGCCGCAGGCACCGGGGCGGGGGCGGGGGCGGGCGCCGCGGGCGGCTGGGGACTCGGGGCACACCCGCGGGTACGCAGGGCGAGAGGTGGCTTCTTCCCATCCCCTTCCGGGAGGACCCAGAGTGTGGGGATGGCCGCCCTCATGGGAGCTTTTGTAGTGAAGTTAGGGTTTGGTAAATGGGTCCCTCCCTCCCCAGCCCCATTTTTTATTCTTTGCGGCGGACATAGTCCTCCGAAATCACTGCTCCTTCCCCTAATACCTAGCCCTGTATGATCGAAAGGAGAGAGACTTATGACTCTGTGTGTGTGTGTATGTGTGTGTGCGCGCGCGCTCTCGTGTGTGTAAGTAAGCATGCTTGGTTTTCTGTGGTTTTCCTTTTTTTGAGGTCTCTGTGTGTTTGGTATTCTCTGTGTTTGTATTTCTTCATTTTTTTTTTTTTTTGGTCATTGGTACCAATGGCTGATTAGCTGGGATCTAGGTATCTGCCCCATCCCGAGCCTCAGCCTTGCACCCCCTCGTGGGCACTTGCACGATTTCCCGTCCCATTCTTTTTTCTCCTTTAACCATTTTTTGTGTATCACCCGTGTGCTATGGTCCTGCACCCCCACTCGTGCCCCTCAGCAATCGTCTTTGTATGACAGTTGCATATATGGGCTCAAGAAGATTGTGTGTGTGCGTTGGATGAGTGTGTATGCATGTGTGCTAGTGTGTGCGCCTCGGAGAGTCAGACGTGCACTGCTGTGCACCCCTGGGCCCGGCCAGAGCGGCGTGTCTGGCCCTTGGGTGCTGCGCTGTGTGTGAGATGGGGTGGGAAGCTGTCCCAGCCAGGCCTTTGCCCCGGCATGCGTTGACGAAGCAGCAGACCGGCGGGCGGCGGGCTTTGTTTTTAATTGTGATATATGGGGTGTGTTTGCTCAATTCCCTTTCCCCACGTCCCCTTTCCCCTACAATCTGCTTCAACAATAGCTTGATTTCCCCTTCTACACCTCCCCCACATTTCTTCCATTTTCTTTTAATCAAAAACCCCCACCTTCCCAAGCAAATCCAAGATGCATTAGATTTTTTTTTTTTTTTTTTTTCTTTTTGTATTCTG